TGTGGAGACTAATAGAAATAGCATCATGATTAGGGGTAGTCCTAATGACGATTTCACTTTAAAATTGTGGTAGTGCGGTATTAACTTTGGAATATTGTGATTAGGTTTTGATCGTTCTATCACCGTAGCACTTGGGTTAAGCCTTCTGTTCTGTGCGAGTGAGGTAAGTAAATTATGGTAAAGCCCTTCGACTTTAAAGCATGTTTTAAACTGTTTTTGAGATGGTGGCAAGGTTTAAATTGATTTTATCAGCATCTGAGTGTGATTAAACTGAAATGAAAATCGTGATGATTTTTCTGAAAATTATTACTTTCTGGAATTGATCATGATTGGAATGAAAATGAGAATTTCATTGTTTTTCTATAGTTGAGCATGCCCACATGAAATTGTTTTCAATTGCATTGAATAGAGCATGCATATTTGGAATTGACTGAACTGACTGAACTGCTTTGATGAATTGAGAATTTTGTAAGTTCTGAGTTTTTTGTTAAATCCATGCTCACATGGAAATTTTTTGATTTATTATGAAATTTGAGATTGATTGTGAATTTCGGATTTTTCTGTAAATCTTGCATGGTTTTGTCTCTGATATATTCAAGATTACTGACGCCCGCCAGTGGGAGTTTGTAAACGCTGGCACATGTCGACATATTTACTGATATGACCGGTCCATTCTGTAATCCTGCCAATGGGATAATATATTGGTAATTACTGACGCTTGCCAGTGAGAGTTTGTTAAACACTGGTACCGTTATTGACGCCTGCCAGTAGAAGTTTGTTAAACACTGGCCATAACCTATAGATGAGACCACTGAATTTGATTCTGGATTAACGGTTTACCATTGAAAGTTCTGTTATGTTTACATGGTTTATCTGGCATGCTTAAATTTTTATCATGGGCTATCCATATTTTTACTTATTGAGATATTTTATCTCATAGTTTTCCTTGTCCTCCATTTCAAGAAGTAAAATTGAGGACGGGGAAACCAAGGGGAGTGACGAGGTAGAAGGCTAGCCATTTCTAATTGGATACAAGTTTTAGATTTTATCATCCTTTTGTAAGGTAGATTTTATTCTTAAGATGTTGTGATTTGAATAAGTTTCGAGCTTTGTGCACTTGTGGGACTCGTCTCACGAGTGCACTGCGTCTTCCACGTCCCCAGATTTGGGTTTTGGGGCGTGACAAGAACGATCACAAGTATGACCACTAGTGAGGTAGTGCCATATGTGGCAATGACACAAGAAAGGACCACTAGCAAAGGTGGTAACTGTTTCCAATAGGATGCATACGAGTGCAAGGCCTACTATTCTTTATTTCTTTTGTCTTGGTTATCAAGTATGACTACCCACTATTTTGTTAAAGATACTTAAAAATTATTTAATTTTATTAATATTTTATTTATTTATAGTTTTTTTTAAATAAATAACTATCATATCTGAAAATATTAATTTATAAATTAATTTTAATATGTTAAATAATAAATATTAATTTTTTTTATCAATTATTAACTATTTTTAATAATCACATTTGAAAAAAATTATGTGAGTTCAACAAAATAATAGATAGATATAACCACATCCAATCAAGTATGGGGTTTTTAGTATACTTAACTTGGGGTGCATTTGGAATTGTAGTTGAGAGCTTTTTTATGTAGCTATAAAGTGCTTTTAAATATTGGTGTGTTTGGTTTTTTTTTTTTTTTTTCTCAGATTGTTTTTTCTAAAAGCTACAGAAAATTACAATAAGCTATAGTAGATTTACAGTAATTTTATAAATAAAACTAAAAGTCTTATTTTGAAAATTTTTAACTGTGACTTTTTATGGAAAATATCTACTATTTAATAAAATTACAAAATTACCCATTAAAACCTAATTTATAATATTTTAACAACGATAACAAATCTAAAAAACTTAAATTATTGAAAAATAGTAAATATTAGCTATTTTAATAATTATATATCTTACAATAGTTTTAAATTTTAATTAATAATTAATAAAATCTACTATATTTTGTCTATAATACTTTTAAAAAATAAATAACTAAATACCAAAATGACTTTCAGTCATAATAATTACAGTATAATATAGTTTGGCACAACTATAATTACAACTACAGACACAGTCACAACTGCAGTCACAGCACTTTACAACAATCCTAAACGTACTCTTGGTCAATTGTTACCTAGGTCAGTTAGGTCATTTTCACAAGTCTTGTATGGGCATTCTTAGGAAAGGGTCCTTACAAACTATTATTAAACTTAGCTCAATTAGGTTCTTGGAAAGCATTTTCAATCTTACTTGAGGTATTTCTGAGCCAAGGAAAGCTAATGCATCAGGCTATATGGACCAATGAGAGGTTGCCACATGTGGAGAGTATTTTACATGATATTAGAGCCTTTCCTCCATTAACTTTTGATTAACTTTTCACTAAATTACAGAAGACTCGAGCCTTAAGCTCTGAAATTAACCTCCACAACCCCCTACGCTTCACACCGTTCTCCTTCACTTCATTGTTGAATTGAGTTAACAAGGATTTGATTTTGAAAAGAGAAATTCTAGTGGCACTCTGCACCTCATTAGTGCGAAGCGAGATTTTTTTCAAAAAAAGTTATATATATTTAAAAACAATTAACTCTGCAACCAATAACTTGTTGATTCGAATAAATGTAATTTGATTATTTTTAAACAAAATCTTAAATTTAAATTTCCTAAATGAAAAAAAGATTTTGAAAGAGTTTCTCTTGTTGAGATAGGGAGTGTAGAGACACTCAACATGACATTATTCTTTTGAAAAGATTCAAAAACTAGAAGGTAAATAAATATACAAATTTTAATTATATATAAAATTACTATTATAACAAAATAAAACTCTCTAAAATTCTCAAATAAATATTCATTGAACTTTTAAAAAATCCTTAATAAATACTAATGGGTTTCAAAAAAAATCTTCAGTAAATGTCAATGGGGCTTTTAAAAAAATATCTATTAAAAAATAATTCAAATCTAACATATATTAAATATTATAGTCCAATATTAATAAAATTTGGTTTCTTCTTAATTTTATTCACCCTTTCTTATTATAGGATTTGAGTTAACTTTTTTTTTTTTTTAGTATCTTTTGTTACAATTATATAAATGAACAAACAAAAGGAGAAAAAAATAATAATAATAAGGGAAGAGGTGCCGGCACATAATTCCACAACTTCTTTCTTAATGGAAAAACTAGAGTGTTGGTCCTCAATTTTTGAGAAATTTGTACACTTTAGTCGTTAAATTTCAAAATTACATTCTGGTCTTCAATCTCACCCGTTTATTCATTGTTTTACTTTGAGAAACATTGTAATTTAGTTCTAAGTTTATGTTTTTAAATAAGTCCTATCTTACACAAATAATATAAATAATGTAAAATTAAGTAAATTTATATTAATTTTGTTCAAATATTAATGACATTGAGGTTAAGTTAGTATCATATTGTATACAAAAATTCAACATATCAAATACTGTAATAATTTAATTTATCCAAACTACGTATTTTAAGTTCTTAAAATACATATATTTAAATTACATGTCTTTTAAATACATTCATCAAATTCAAATTTAAGTTATCAAATGAAAACTAAGGAAAGTTGTTAAATTTTGTATTTAAGTTTTATTAAGATTTTTGTTGAATTGTTAATATTAGATTTTTCTTATCAAAAAGAGAAAAAAAAAATGATACAAAAAACCGAAAGGAGGATTATGATGGCAATAATTGAATACAACTTTTAAAGAATTCCACCTCTAAGGCATAAAAGTAAGTGAAAAAGAATTAGAGAATGATTTTAGAAGTTGTGCTACTTATATTTTGGTCTAAAATATTTCTAACATAGACAATAAGATATAGAAGGATAAAAAGAGGTATATAATGATAAATGTTGATATAAAGATGACTTAGAAAGAATAGTAACAAATAAATTATTAATAACAAATAAGGGAGTATAAGATAAAGGAAATAAAAGAATAATAACAATAAATTACTAATATAGATAGAAAGGAACAAAAGAATAATAACTGATAAATTATTAATATAGATAGAGAAAATTAAAGTGAATATAAGTTAAAAAAATATATATGTATATGTATATTTATAAAATATGAGGAATAAGCTAAGAGACGAAGCCCAAGAAATGAAAGGTCAAGTTGAGGCCATAGAGAGTAAGCTAAGATATGAAGCTCAAGCAAGTGAAAATATACCAACATAATAATGTTAAGAAACTGTGTTTTTATGTTTTGATATAAAATATTTTTGATATAGAGAAGAGGCATGAGAAAAAATATTAGGGCACAACAAGTATAAATAATTAATGATATATTTAGATGCAAGGAATGACTAAGAAATTAAATAATAATAAAAATGAAATGATAATAGAAGAAAGAATAAAAACAAATAAAATACTAATAAAGAGTGAGAATTACTAATATAGAAGAGTTTGTTTAATTACACATTTTTTTTTTCATTAATTTGTATAGAAAAACACAAAATTAACTTCGTTCTCAACACCAATAACCCCATGTAGAATTTTAATTGGATGGTTAATAAAATCTAAGTCAAATTTTTTTTTCCATGATAATTATTGAGAAAAAGGGTAATTAATGCACCCTTATATAGAGCACAAGTTAGAAGAACCCTATATAGATATTTAAAAATATAGCAAATGTACATATAAATAAATATAATGATAAATTATGATGGTGAAAGTCAAGAGATGGAGTTATAAGAAAAATTAACGAGAGGTGGAGTAAAGATAAATGAAGATGTACTAAAGAGTAGTAGTAATAAGCTATATCTTTGATATTTTAACGTTAAAATTTTCTAATATAGATGGTAAGAAGGAGATAAAAATTGGGTAGAAATAAGGAGATATATAATAATAAGGGAACATAGAATAGTGAAAAAACAAATTACTAATATATGTGTAATATCCCAAATTTTCGGGAATATTTAAGTGTAAGTTAAGGACTTGATTGTGAGAAAAGATTGTTTTGGGTCCTAATGTGAACATTCGAAAGTTTAGGGACTTAAAGAGGGAAAGATTTTGGATAAGGATGACTTCTTTTCTTTTCTCCTTTTTCTTTCTTTCTTTCTTCTTCTCCAGCCCGATTCTGCTCTTCTTCTCATTTCTTCCCGCTGCAGCCACCCGAAGAAAAAAAGAAAGAGAACCCAGCCATGCCTTGGAAAAATTGGTAAGGAAGCTTGGTATTTTCCCCTTCCTTTCTTGTTCTAGAATCCATATAGAACCCAGAAATCTCTCCCCCTCTGCTGGAAAATCCGGATCTGCCTTGCTCTGTCCGCCGGCTGCTTTTGTTGTGGGGGCAAATTGCTTGGGTTTTGGGTAAGAAACAGCCATTAAATTCCTTTGTTCTTGCTTGAATTGGCTTGGGTTTATGTTAATTGCTCTTGGTTCCTTCAATTTTTGGGTAGCCCGTGAGCTTTCTTCTTTCATGCCGCCGGCTTTCCCCAATCTGCAGCCCCGGTTTTAGCTGGAGAATTATGGTATGTGACAGCCTTTTAAGGTTTAATTTAGCCATTTATTGCTGCCTTGTGTGTGTCCGAAATTCTGCAGAAAATGGGGATAATTCCGGTAGCTTTAGGATAAAGTTTAAGCATTGATTCAAGTGGAATTTGTGTGATTGAGTGTTAATTGCTTGTTGTGATTTTTGGAGAGAAAATCCCGTGAGATTAGCTAGTGTTTTGGCCAATTTGTGGGGGTGGAGTTACTGTTCACGCCGGGTACTGTTCACCGGTTAATGTTCATACCCCGAGGGCCAACATTTAACGGGAATTTAAATGATTAGTTTGTGATATAAGAACGGATTTGGAGATATTTGATAATGTGGAGATTGATAGAAATAGCATTGTGATTAGGAATGATCCTAATGAAGTGTTCAGTGTGAATTTGTGATAGTTCGATATTAATTCTCGGATGTT